ATTACAATTCAGACATTTGCGGAAAAAGTGGGTAATACATTGCAATTAGAAGCTTTCTCTAGTATTTTGATTTTGGAATTGCTGAATTTAATATTTTCCTTGTAAATGGTGTCTGAGAAAAGTAATAAAAGACAAACAAATAGTTTGTGGTTCTCAAAAAATAGCGCTGTAAGATTATCGTTCATAATTTGACAACTCCATACTTTCAAGAAAGATTTTCCTATGCAAACATAAATAACAATAAATTTTCATTATGTTCCTCAGAAATTTTTTGTCAGACGAAAGGTTTAGGCGTTAGAGCACGTTATTTTTGGCAAAATGTTTGGTTGATAGATTTTCACTCAGGCGAGAGGTTTAATGGGTAGAGCGCGTTGTCGTTGTGGGTCCGACAAATGTAAGTATGTAATTGATGCCAAGATGTGACTCCCTTTTCCATGTAAGCTGCCCAGTAAAGAGAGGAAACGAGCTCAGTTGCCGAGTTGTCACTGACCAACTGGAAACATATGAGTATCCTGCAGCGTATATCCCACCGAGCCGCCCGCCTTTCTGTCTCTGCTGCGCGCGCAGTCAGTTGGGTCGAGGTTCGTCTCGTGCGGGTTTTGTGGGTGCGCTTTGTCATAGAGCTTGTTTGATCGCGTGATTTTACTGAATTTTCTGTTAGTTTAGTGCTTATTTTATTCCATTTATTACTTTCCCGTATACATACATACGGAGTAATATACGTAGTATAAAGTAAATTATGTAATGCTGTGAAAAATCGATATCGAGATTTCAACGGAAGTACACTTTTTGGGGTTCCCTACGGTAAAAGTGTTGTTTTTTGTTTTTGTTTTTCGTTTTTTTTTGTTTTTTTTTTTCAAAACGTCCGTTCGTGTATGTGAACAACACTAGCGCCTAAACCATGCGCAGAATTTGTTTTAATTAAAATTAATTAAATCTTAATTAAATTAAAGATGTCCTTGACCATTTGCCCTTAGTAATAGGTCTGTAATTTTGAAAAACATTCATTAATTTTGGGGAGAATTTTACCCACAACCCCTTTGGAACATTTTCAAAATTTTCTCAAATGTTTTCTTTAAATTTCTTGTAAGAATAGTGTAAAATACACTTATAATGGTGGCATAGGTTTGAGTTTCACTGTTAACTCTGAAACTTTGATAATTGAAAGAATTTGAATTTTTCCGAGTTTTCCTATAACTTCAAAATTGAAAACAGAGATTTTTCCTTCAATTGAAATTTTTGGTCCATAATTAGTTCTTTCATGAAGGTCATCCTCAGTTTTTTGAAAAATTTAGTAGTTTTCACGCAATATTGAGTTAAAGACATGCAATTTTAAAAAATACAAAAAGATTTTTTTTAAACTTCATTATTTTCTTTAAAATTTTAGTAGGGATAGTGCTAAATCCACTCTATAAGATTACCTAAATCGTCTCCTCTTTTGTTGTTCGTCTATTCTTTTGTTGTTGTTTTTCAAAAAATACAAAAATGTTCTTTTTACTTGTTTCACGTCGTTAATATTCACAATAACGGTAATTGTTTCTCATTAATGTATTTACGAGCACATGTGCTTGAAATAATGTCAGAAAAATGTCTCAAAAACAACAGTTTTCTGTAAAAATGGGCTCAAAATTCCGAGTATTCAGAAACAGTCAAACGCATTTTTCCAAAAAATAGTCTCCAATTATTTTTCTTCAAATTTTTCAATGTATAGAGCTAAGTGCACTGCTTAAAATGACATACAATTAATTTTGCTGATTCTTTTGTTTTGTTTTCTCAAAAAATACTCATATGCAATTTTTTTAAAGATTTCTGACGCCTTTAATGTGCACATTTCCAGCAATTTGTAAACACTATTAAATTTGCACATGAAAGTGCCTGAAATGATTTCAAATGAGGTTTTTCAAAAACTCTATAGTGTTTTGTGATAAGAGATTCAAATTTAGTATTTACAATAGCGGTTAAATATCATGCATAAATATTTTCATTAAAACGGCACGTAGTGTTTCAATGAAATTGCCTGTTTAGACGAAATTTATTTGTTCGTAAATATACTTTAAATAAGATTTCCGTTCTACTATAAGGAAAGCGAAAGATTGACAAAAGTTCAAAAATATGTACTTTGGGCGGCGATAGATGGCTGCTAGCAAGAGTATGTGGCAAGTGCGAATAGCTAACCGAGACCAAAGGAAATAGAAAACTAATACGGGAAGGTCTGTGCCATTCTGTAGAAACACTAGTGACTTTGCTTTATGCAGTCTATGAACAAAATTATTTTGTTATTAAAAATTATGTTGTTTAAACACAATACGCATGAGCACGGTGCAGAAACAACACACATAAATAGCTGGCGATAATTATGACAGCACGATGCAAAAAAAAAATACACTAAACTTGCTAATTGTCAATGATATGTTGTTACAGAATGCAGAATATTGTAGAAAAGACTACCAAAATTTATAGTTTTATGGCATCTACATTCACTGCAATACTTTGGAGTAGTCGTTTTTCTAGTCGATAGACGTACGCCAAACTATTCTATCAATAAGAGTCACAAAATACAATTTCTCACTGTCTGTTTGAAAAAAAAACATTTTTGCTTTGTCACGGATCCTCCCAAACTGCATTTCTGTCACAATTTCGACATGGTTTTTGCGGCATAACATAACTGTCTCTAGGTGTCCTGGAATCAACATTACAACGTATTGCGGATGAATAGGAGGTCGAAATTAATCACATTTTGCCAGTGAACTTTGAACTGTATCAAATACGGAACACAAAGGCGTAGCAACAAGAGTAGTTTTTTTTACTTAGATACAATTTTTTTCAAATACACACTCGTGCCAACATCAGGTCATTAGCCAACATCAGGTCCCAGCGCCGGGAGAGAAAAACCAAGTACAGTTCTAGAGCCCGTTCACCAGTCGAAGTCCATAAACGTAGCTTGCCCACCAGTATCCAGACAGAGCACAAAACAATGAGCGGAATCGCGTAACAACACTAACTCACGAAGGGCACAACAGTTGACTAGTAGCTCCCAGACCTGTCTGCCCGAAACACATATTTGCCCCTGATTATCAGGCAACTCTTTTTGCACATGTGTTGTGCAAGTCACGTTGTGGCGCAATCAAGGATGCTGCTAAAGCCCTGCGCCGAAGAGGTTGCCTAGCACTCAGAGGCAAATACCACATGTGCCCCACCCGTTACAAGAAATTTTCCATCTATGCTCATTGGCAAAAATTAATCATGTTCACCTCCTGCACATGCTCTAAAAATGTGTAACATTTACTCAGAGACGCCTGCATCCTACTTATACGAGGAAGTAAATAGGAGAGTTGGGACAAAAGTCATGGCTACTATCTTTTTTCTTTTAAAAAATGTTATCAGTTCATACAATTTATTTGTTGCGTGAAAATATGCTATTCTAATGTGTTCGGGCCTACACAACAAAGCAGAGAATTACGCATACATTTTATTCCCATGCCTTCATATTTGCAAAATGGCATCGCTTTGCAGTCACGCAGTATTTGTTCAGCCGGCACGAAATGGAAGGTCCGACTTCCTTCGGCGAATCAACACCATAGACGAAACCTGTGGTCGCTCGTACGAATGAAATTGAAACGCCTATCCAATGAATGAAAGCATCCCGGTTCTTTTTATCCAAATAAAGGTGCGCGCTACACAATGTTCAGCACGTTATGTCCATTGTGGCGTATGACATTGATGCGATGATACGGGCGACGACAGACGCACGTTTTCTTGAGCCCTGGCGTACCTACCCCCACTACTTTACTAACATTAGTTGGCTTCAGAATAAATGATGGCTACAAGTTGTGTTGACAAACTCTGAAAAGATAAAAAATAGAACTAGAGAATAGTTTCCATCGAAAAACGAGCTACAGATTTCATATAATTGTCCTGTCAATAAAATAATTTTAAAAAACCATTATCCTCGCATTTAGCGAAATGAGGACTCAAAAAACGTGCGTGGATAATACTACTGCGCCTTTCTGCAAAACCACCTTCATCCAACGCCCAGGCGAAAGCGTCATTTCGTGGAACAGCCACACCGCAGCTGCGGTCCAGGATCTCTAGCGCCGCTGGCAATGGGAGATCCTGGAAGATCCAACTCACTCACCCGATATGAGTCCCCACGATTAAGATCTCTTCAGCCAAATGAATGACCCACTGCGAGGGACCCGGTACAACGCCAGAGAGGAAATTATTCGTGCTGTAAGGCGCTCAAAATGAAGCAATAGTCGTGCAGGTGGTGTTCGGCACCTTCCGAACATTTGTCAAAAGGTCTTTAATAATGGAAGGTGTGTACTCAATGTCTGATAAAGTCGTTTCAGAAAAAACATTAATCATTTCTTCTTATCCAACACTTGTACGAGTAATCTTCTTCTTTGGATCTATATTCGAAATACGGAATGTAGGTGGCTCAAACAGGATAATTACTCAGGGTAGTTTCCCGTGGCCTCCCTCGGGTTTTCGACCCAGGCTTCTTCTACCTCCGTCACGGCTCTGGGGACCTTATCGCGCACACGCACGTCGCGTCCAGTCCTGTAATGCGCCTGGACTTTGACTCTCACTTTCTCAGCCAGATGTCGGTCTCAGTTACTATATGCCAGCTGTCTGGGGGAACGTGAGATCTCGTTAAGGGATTTAGTTTTTCCGCGCATAGCGCCAGGGTTCTTTTATATGTCACAAGTGGGACATCGCTACTGTGGATTTCCCTCCCTTGGAAAATCCGGGCACCTCCGCCGGGATCGAACCCGGGCACTGCGGGTTCAGAGGCCAGTAAGCTAACCACCCACCGATACCCCCCGTGTGTAATAGACACTGATAAATTCATATTTTTCTAATTATTTCATTTCTAACTTTGTTCCTTTTTGAAATCCCTGCCGATCTTCTCCCATTCCTTCCAACGTGAGCCCCAGCCTCCGTATAATAGGAGGAAAGGGTTGGGCTTGTGAGCCGCTCGCCGGCGGGTGCTGTTGCAGGCGTTCGTGCACCTGTCCACGGCCTTCTGCCACCCGACGCAGGCGGTGCTGGAGGAGCGCTGCTACCCGCCCCCGGCGCCGCCACAGGACTTGCTGCGCCTCGCCGACTGGCTGGACGAGGACGCGCTCAACTCGCTCGCTCCGCGGTAAGGCGCCCTGTACCAGGCATTATTACAAAGGCGTAGCCTCCCAACTGCTTTCGACAAAAAGAAAGAAAAACAATTTTTTACAAACAAAAGCTCATTTGGTGTATTGAAAATAAATTATTAACATTCATAATAATCATTCTAAAGGGTTTTATAGATACGGGGTGCACGTACAATAATTACTGTACTTGTGTGATGCAGGCTGCTCGGGGCGCACCCGAACTGTTACACGTTCTCGAAGCAGCTGGCCGAAAGCCTGGTGAACGACGCTCGTGGCCGCATGCCAGTGATCATCGTAAGGCCCTCCATTGGTGAGTGATAGAGAGCGAGACCGAGAGCGAGACCGAGAGCGAGACCGAGAGCGAGACCGAGAGCGAGACCGAGAGCGACTCCGTCTTCCCGCTCTCCCGGTTCGCTCTCGGTCTCGCCTCTCGGTCTCGCTCTCGGTCTCGCTCTGGGTCTCCGCTCTCCCGTCTCGCTCTCGGGTCTGCGCTCTCCGGTTCTCGCTCTCGGTCTCGCTCCGGTCTCGCTCTCGTCTCGCTCTCGGTCTCGCTCTCGCGTCTCGCTCTCGGTGCTCGCTCTTCGGTCTCGCTCTCGTCCGGTCTCGGTCTCGCTCTCGGTCTAACGCTCTCGCGTCTCGCTCTCGCGTCTCGGCGCTTCGCTCGCTCTCGGTCTCGCTCTCGGTCTCGCTCCGGTCTCGCTCTCGGTCTCGCTCCCGCGTCTCGCTCTCGGTCTCGCTCTTCGTTCTCTTTTTATCCCGGTCTCGCCTCCTCCGTCTCGCTCTCGGTCTCGCTCTCGCGTCTCGCTCTCGGTCTCGCTCTCGCCCTCTCGCTCTCGCTCTCGCTCTCGCTCTCGCTCTTCGCTCTCGGTTCTCGCTCTCGCTCTCGCTCTCGGTCTCGCTCTCGGTCTCGCTCTCCCGGTCTCGCTCCTCGGTTCCGCTCTCCGGTCTCGC